AAAAAAAAAAGACTAGTTGGTTTGATGGTATGGCATAGAAGGAGCAAAAAGGAGAAATCCCATCTCCTGAAACTGCCTGGATGGGTAATGAAGCCATTGTCCTCATCCAAAGCAGCCATTATCAGAGGTCCTGGATGCTGCTTCTAAGCAAGAAGGAGGAATAGGAAACACCCTTGGACGTTTTGATACGGGGGCTCTGGATTGGTCCTGCAAACCCTGCCATGGCATTTGGAATTGGTAAAGGCTAAACTCCGACACTGGCTTCTCTCAAGCATTTCTCACTGAGGGAAATCCTGTCCCTCATATTCATAATACAGTCTCTGCAGACAAGCTGAAAAAGAGCTGTTTCCTGTGTTTGCCTCTCCCTTCCCCATCATCTCCCCAGATACTTTCCCCCAAAACACACAAACGTGCTGCCCAGTAAGGACAGAGAATGGTGGTACTAAGCTTTTGGGACTGAGCTCTGGTCCTATTCTAATCCTGGCTTGCTCAAGACAGGACTGATTCTCATGAAAACTTGGAAGGTGGTATAGACTGAATGTTATTATTTTCTGGAGACCCTGCAGGACACGGGTAGGAAAGTGCAGGGGTTTCTTCAGTTCCTAGCAAGCACTGCCTCTAGCAAGCACTGCCTCTCCTTGTTGGCCTTGACTAAGGAAATGAATAAATCCCATACCCTCCAGCTTCCATTTTCTTCTCTTGTAAAACAACCATGGCAGTTGACCATAAAAACCCAGAGACAACTGCCATAAACTCTCAGAGCTGCTGGTTGAGACAGATTAGAGACCATTCCGGCACCATTTCCAGTGTTTATCCTGGGCTTACCACCTCTTCCTTCTCCAATTCTTATCAGTCTCATGCATCTAATGGTCACCCAAAGATGGAAGTTTCTTCACATTTCCTGAAACACTGTGAAGACCTGATCAATGAATGAATCTCTGCACAACAGACACCCCAAGAGCTCCTTGGCATAACATTGAGAAACCTGGAACAGGGGAGGATATCTAGGCCTACATGGAAGCCAAAGAAGATGTGTTCACACACACACACACACACACATACACACACACACACACACACACACACACAGAGAGACAGAGAGAGAGAGAAATAGAGAGACAGAGCACATCCTGAAGCCTTCACATGAGAGGGTGTCTTGACTCACCTGTGACTGGTCCTGTACCCATGAGGAATGCTGCCCACTTAGCGGGGAGGCCTCTGGGCTGCTGCTTTACTGACTTTCTATTTATATCAGGCCAGACCTGGCAGGAAACAGATGGCACACTCAAATTGGGTAATTTGAGGAGAGTTGAATAAAGGGGCTATTTACAAAGGTGCGGGCAGGATGTAGGGAAACCACAGGGGTAGTGCAATAAGTAACAGCTTCTTGGCCACCCCAGGCCTCAAGGGGTCAAGGGTGGTGCAGTCACCAGAACCTGTAGAGTACGCCCTGCATGTTTAGGGGCACCTGGCAAGAGCTGTGACGATGCATCAAAGGATGCGGCCAGCCCAGAGGTGATCCTCCAGAGCTCCCACACCTTTTCCTCCCTCTGATCTCCTGCCTAGGATACCCACTGGCTAAACCCAACTAGAAGCCAAAGAGTAACTAAGCCCATTGATACACTGAGTGGCATAGGGCAGAGCGGAAAAGAATCAAGAGTGGATTTAGAAAGGCAAACCGAAGTATCCAGCATACTAACCTAACTAACACTAACTAATGTAACTAACACTAATAGTGCTAATACATAACACTATTTAGAGTGGGGAGGAAGACTGGAGCTCTGGAGTGACTCTGACCCGTTCTTGCCATGTGACTCTGGACAAGTTACTTAACCTCTCTGTGCATCAGTGTCCTCATCTGTAGAGTGGGCCTAACAACACCAACCTCAGGACTGTAGTGAGGATTAATGTTTCATTTATCTCATTTAGAGATAACATAGAGGCCGAGTGCAGTGGCTCATGCCTGTAATCCCAGCACTTTGGGAAGCTGAAGCAGGTAGATCACCAGAGGTCAGAGGTTCGAGACCAACTTGGCCAACACGGTGACACCCCGTCTCTACCCAGAATACAAAAATTAGCCGGCCGTGCTGGCAGACTCCTGTAATCCCAGCTACTGGGGAGGCAGAGGCAGGAGAATCACTTGAACCCAGAAGGTGGAGGTTGCAGTGAGCCAAGACCATGCCATTGCACTCCAGCATGAAATACAGAGCAAGACTCTGTCTCAAAAAAAGAAAAAAAAATTAAAACTTAAAAATTAAAAGAGAGATAACGTAGGTGAAGCAGTTAGCATATAGTAGGCACTTGATGAATACTGAATCCTTTCCCATCTTCCTTCTCTCCTTCCTTTCCTTCCTATCTTCTTTCATCCTCTTCCTTCCTCACCTCTCTCAGGTAAATGTGTCGGGATAGGGTCCTACACTTCGTATATGACACTATTTTATGCAGTTGATCATGTTGCTTGATTGATGGTTGAAAGGCCCTTTCCTTCCTTGGAGGCTTCGTAACATCCTGGAAGTAATCCGCCCAGTCTTGGAGCCTACAGCAGTTACTGTGGTTTACAAAGTTCTTGCTGGGGTGGTTGACATGGTCCTATCTCTTTTCATGGGTGGTGACAAGGTTACTAGAGTATTTGCTTTATGCATTTGGAAGCTGTATATTTGTTTTGTGCTGTTGTCTGTATTTGTTTTATATTTAACAATTTAAGAGCTTTAGAAATATTTTCAAAATTTCATATAACCATGAAAAATAAAAACTTTTATTGTCTGCTTTCTCCCTGTTTGCTGTTCCCTGTGGTTAGGATGGACCTGAATTATCACGAGGTTCTCGACAAAAGGCCTTTGAAAAGATGATATTATTGGTGACGAGGGGACCTGGAGGCACTTACTTCTTCCTAGTCACATATTTCTTCCTATTCCCAGATGCAAGAAACTCCGGCTGGGTCTAAATGCTTTTCCTGAACGTACGCCTGGGACAGCTACAGGGGATGCTCCACACCCCTGTACTTTTCTTGCATGGTTCTGTGATGCTTCTTGACTTTTGCCAAAATCCCTGCCCTTCAATGTCCAGTTTGATCTCCGAGCAAGTGGCTTCCTCTTTTCTTTTTCAGCCTCTCTCAGCCCTCCTTAAAGGTCCGAGTTCCCGTAATGTCAAACTCCTGTTCTCTGCCAAGCAGCTCTCCCACTGTTTCCAGGTTCTGTCCTCAACACTACTTTTAAGCAGATGCCACAGCAGAGTGGAGAAATGCTTTTCGAAGCCATTCACTTGGCATTCTCCCTTTCTATTGCAATGTAATGTCTCTCTCCATCTTTCTTTCATCCTGTGCTTTACCAAGGGAACGAAAAGTTCCCCATGCTTATACACTCATCAAGACTCAAAGTTCCACAGTGGCAGGAATGGTATCTTTCCATGTTTTAATAAGGTATATTGCCTGTGTGAGTAGTTGACACAGAATAGGAGCTCCAGAAATGGTTGTTGAATTGAACTGAATCGAATTTTCCTTCTCTTCTTGCCTGCATGAAAACCATCTATCTCTTCAGCCTCACCTGATCACCCCAGCGGACTGCAAACTAGGAAGGGCACTTTTGCCCTCTCTGGGAGTTGGTTTTCACATGGCAGCTGCAGCAGCACGTAAAAAGGTGGGATGGCATCTTGGCTAATACGGTGAAACCCCGTCTCTACTAAAAAATACAAAAAATTAGCCGGGCATGATGGCGGGCACCTGTAGTCCCAGCTACTCGGGAGGCTGAGGCGGGAGAATGGCGTGAACCCGGGAGGCGGAGCTTGCAGTGAGCCCAGATCACGCCACGGCACTCCAGCTTGGGCGACAGAGCTAGACTCCGTCTCAAAAATCTCAAAAAAAAAAAAAGGGGATGAGGGATGGGAGGTCGAGAGGAAGGAGCAGGCACTTTAAAAACTTTTAAGGCTCATTTGTTTTTAACATTATAGCTTTTCTCTTTCTTCTCCTTAGCATAAGATGTTTCTACTCTCTTGTAAAGGATCTCATAGCTGATCCTTTTTGCTTGTATTTGCTTATTTTGCCTCTGGAACAGTCAGAGACAAACTCCCAGCTCCTTCCATTCCCCACCCACCAAAACTGGCGTTGGAAGAGCAGGCGTCCCGGTGCTTTTGACGTTTTTCCTTTTGCTAAAACTAGGCAGGGCCTGGAGATGAGAGACTGAGCTCGGCCATTTAGCCGCTGTGTGCCTCACCTTTCCTCATCCGCAGCTGGGTAGCTGGGAGTGACCCGTAAGAAATAGTGTGTGCTTGCTGCTGTTGGGATGAAAAGTTCCAGCGTGCGAAACGTGTGATTTATGGCTCTGAGGCATTCAGATCTAATTCCTGGGTGAGAGCATCCAAAGCAGGGGCCTCCTAGCCCCTAAACTACAAGGTGTCTTCCCACCATGAATCAGGACACAATTAGGCCAAATCAGCTGCTTTCATTTTGCCTCCAAGTTCCAAAGTCCAAAGGCTTTCCTGCTGACTACAGTGGTTACTTTACAAGGGGAAGGGGAAGTAAAAAGGCAGATTCCCTCTGGAGGCTCTCTGCTGGCTCTAAGGATGCCTCCCCAAATACCATTGTAATATCTACCCTTCCTTCTCTCCCCAGCTAATGCCACCCTTATTCAGGCTCCAAAACTCAAGTGACGCTAAAAAGCATGGAGCCACTGGAAGCACTCTCATCTCCTAAAGATGAAACTGCAAGTGTTTGCAAATAAATACTCCCTGCAGCAAAATGTATCAAGAAGGACATCATATTTGTCCGAACGCCCACTAGGAAGACCTTTTGCCAAAACGAATGGGAAATCATTGGCCTCATTAACATCCTGTGATCTTAGATCTAAAAATGACCCGGAGCCGGGTAAACAAGGTGACGTCAGCGGACTGGGCCGGGAACGGCTCTCTACTGCCACCTCGAGGAGAGTGTCCTCAATGGCGCGGCGGCTCCGGGCCCAGGAAAGCGGACCTGGGACCGCTGGAAGGAAATCGGGGGCGGAGGGGAACTGGTGGGCGCTGGGAAGGCGCGGAGAAGGGAAGAAACCCACTGAGGGGCAAGAAGCTCCTCGGTGATCTCAGCTAGAGGAAAACGAGGGCTAAGTAATCTGGGCCATTGGGCGTTACTGCGCTGTCCCGGCTGGCTTCTGAATCCTGGGAGCATTCTTTTTTATAAAAGGAGTCAGACACCGTGAACTCTCCCCAGAAAAACTTCTGGCTAAAAGTGAGTGGGTACACAATTCCCAAGGCTGGGCACCCTTAATGAAAGCAGTTCCCAGATTTCCAGTCCTGGAGGGAGAAGCAGTGGAATAGCCAGGCTAATCACAGAGGGCTACCGGATTTGGGGTTTTGCTTCGGGCTTCGCTGGGACTGGGGCGGAGGAGGGAGTGCAGGGGTGGAATGGCCCTAATTTACTTTCCCGTCAGGCTAACGCGAGGAGGCGGCTGCGGAGCTTTCTGCAGGACACAAGCAGCATGCTGGGAGATGCCCCAGAAATGCGCTGGGCCCGGGGTCGGGGAAGGTCAACTGCGCATTATTGCTTTTCCCCTGCAGATGATCCACAAAAGGAAAATGAGTTGGTTTTTAACTGGATGAAAACAAACACAAATTCACTTTACTTTTGGATCCTTTTTGCTGCGTTACAAACCACCTCAAAGTGCTGAGAACCAGGTAGAAGAATGGAGGAGGAAGGGTTCTCCTGGCAGAGAGAGCGGCAGGTATGAAAGCCTTCTTCTTGCAGGGGAGAGGGCGGTGAAAGAAGGCGAGTGGTGCTGAAGCGCGGGGAAAGTGGAAGAGCACACTTCCCAGGGGTCAAGTAGGGCCTTGTGAGTCACAGGAGAATTCCTTCTTCATTCTAAAAATAATGGGCTTGGGCAGCCAAAGGTGGGAGGATTGCTTGAGCCCAGGAGTTCAAGACTAGCGTGGGCCACGTATTGAGACCCCGTGTCTACTAAAATAAATAAATACACACTCTTTTTTTTTTTTTTTTTTTTGGAGACAGTTTCACTCTGTTGCCCAGGCTGGAGTGCAGTGGCAGGATCTCTGCTCACTGCAACCTCTGTCACTGGGGTTCAAGTGATTCGCCTGCCTCAGCCTCCGGAGTATCGGGGATTACAAGCGTCCGCCAGCATGCCCGGCTAATTTTTGTATTTTTGGTAGAGACGGGGTTTGTCATCTTGGCCAGGCTGGTCTCAAACTCTCAACCTCAAGTGATCTGCCCACCTCGGCCTCCCAAAGTGCTGGGATGGCAGGCGTGAGCCACCACGCCTGGCCTAATTTTTGTGTTTTTAGTAGAGATGGGGTTTCACTATATTGGCCAGGCTGGTCTTGAACTCCTGACCTCAGGTGATCCACCCGCCTCGGCCTCCTAAAGTGCTGAGATTACAGGCGTGAGCTACTGCGCCCAGCCAACTATTTAAGGACTGTATTGGTGAGAAGGTTTTTTAGCTACATATAACAGAAGACCCAACTAGAAGTGACTTAAACATAAGGATATTTATTATCTCATATAACAAAAAACAAAAGACAAGTGCTTCCAGTGTAGTTTGGGGTGGTCAATATTGTAATGAAGGATCCTTTTATCTTCACTATCCTTAGCCTATTGGACTTGTCCTTAGGTTTGTTACCTTATGGCCACAAAGTAACTGCTTCAGTCCCGGTATCACATATAGACATGACTCCATCTAGCCAAAGAAAGTTAAATTTTTTTCCCTTGCAACTTTTTACAAAGGAGGAAAGCCTTTCCCAGAAATCCCCAAACAGGCTTGCCCTCAGGCCCTGTTAATGAAAAAAATTATTTAATGATACTTGTTAAAGCACAGTAAGGAAGACTTTACTCAGGACCATTGCCATACGTGTAGGGACTACTGAAATGTGATTTTCCAGTGCAAGTGAGATTGAGCTCAACTCTGACAGCAACAGCAAGTGGGGTCGTAGTGCGGGTGCAGAGGATGGAAAATTACTAAGAGAAAACATAAGTTGGGCACAGTGGCTATTACCTGTAATCCCAGCACTTTGAGAGCCTGAGATGGGAGGCTTGAGGCCAGGAGTTCAAGACTGGCCTGGACAAGGTAGCAAGACTTCATCTATACATAAACTAAAAAAAGTAGCTGGGTATGGTGGTGCATGCCTGTAGCCCCAGCTGCTCAGGAGGCTGAGGTGAGATGATCGCTTGAGCCGAGAAGTTCAAGGTTACAGTAAACTACGATCACGTCACTGCACTCCTGCCTGGGCAACAGTGAGACCCTGAAAAAGGAAAGGAAGGCAAGGAAGGAAGGAAGAAAGGGAGGAAGGGAGGAAGGGAGGAAGGGAGGAAGGAAGGAAGAGAAAAGAGAGAGAGAAAGAAGGAAAGAAAAGAAAGAAGGAAAGAAAAGAAAGAGAAGGAAAGAAAGAAAGACAGAAAGAAAGAAAGACAAAGAAAGAAAGAAAGAAAGAGAGAGAGAGAGAAAGAAAAGAAAAGAAAGGAAAAGAAAAGAGAGAGGAAGGAAGGGAGGGAGGGAGGGAAGGACGGAGGGAGAAAGGCATCCAGGTGGGTTAAGGGAAATTCTGACTAAACTGACCTGACAGGATTCTTGTTGAAGGCAGCCGACGGTTATCAGTTGTCATCTGGAAGATGATGGAGAATGAGGAACTCAGTCAGATATTAAAGGCGATCAGACATCGAGAGGGGGATATTCTTGCCAAATTGGCTTAGCGGGGTTTTTGCTAAAACTGGATTTTACAAGGAAGTACACAGATGGGCCTAGGAGAAAGTTCAGAAGCCTGACTAGAGTTTGGCCAAGCAAAGAGTTTATGTCAGCCTCACTGGCCACAATTAGGTTATGTGCCTAAGGCCTAGTTGGAGGAACAAGGGAGCCTGTTTTATGGAAGGAGGTTTCTGCTAGCAAGGAGGGAGGGAGAGGGAAATGGTCTTTTGGAGAAGCAGCAAAAAGTGTGCACTATGAGGTTGTAGGTTGATATCATCAGATATGCAGTCTGAAATTGTTTCTCTGGCGGCCAATTTCTGCACATTGCACATGTTAGCACCTCTACTGGTGCTAGGATAGCTGCCGCTATCCTTTTCTGATGAGTTCCTACACACCATCCTTCAGGTCTCAGGTTAAGAATCATTTCTTCGGCCGGGCGCGGTGGCTCAAGCCTGTAATCCCAGCACTTTGGGAGGCCGAGACGGGCGGATCACGAGGTCAGGAGATCGAGACCATCCTGGCTGACACGGTGAAACCCCGTCTCTACTAAAAAATATGAAAACTTAGCCGGGCGAGGTGGTGGGCGCCTGTAGTCCCAGCTACTCGGAAGGCTGAGGCAGGAGAATGGCGTAAACCCGGGAGGTGGAGCTTGCAGTGAGCTGAGATCCGGCCACTGCACTCCAGCCTGGGCGACAGAGCGAGACTCCGTCTCAAAAAAAAAAAAAAAAAAAAGAATCATTTCTTCCTGGAAGCCACCTCTTACTCCTTCCACACTGGGTTAACTATTCTTTTGTTATATTTTTTCCTACTTCTTTTTCCACTTTTGAGGCAGAGTATAGCTCTGTCGCCCAGGCTGGAGTGCAGTGGTGCGATCTTGGCTCACTGCAATCTCTGCCTCCTGGGTTCAAGTGATTCTCCTGCCTCAGCCTCCCAAGTAGCTGGGATTACAGGCACATGTATTTTTAGTAGAGACCAGCCTGTATGTTGGCCAGGCTGGTCTCGAACTCCTGACCTCAAGCGTTCTGCCTGTCTCGGCCTCCCAAAATGCTAGAATTACAAGAGTGAGCCACCGCACCCATCCCTAACTTTTTTTTAAAGAGTCTCTCTGTGGTGCCCAGGTTAAAGTGTAGTGGCTATTCATATGGGTGATCACAGCACATTGCAGTCTCAAATTCCTGGCCTCAGTGTTACTGACTCAGCGCCCTGACTTTGGCTCTTCTTGCACTGTGTTTCCATACCATCCTACAGGTCCCTTATCAAAGCTGGAATCATGATTTATGACAATCACTTGTTTAAACCCTAAGCTAACTAGAAGCATCAAGAGTACGAAAGCCAGACCCCACCTGTCTTGTTCACCATTATCTCTTCGCATGTGGTCTAGTTCCTGGCATGTAGTATATGCTGGATAAATATTTAGATAAATGAATAAGCAAACATTTAATAAAAGCCGTTGAAGGCCTTTCAATCTCACAGGTTTCTGACACTCTTACCCTTTGTACCAGAAATGCCCAAGGCCTCTGGGACAGCAGTGGGCCAAAAATCTCAGGACTCACATTGCTGTCCTTGGCAAGGGGGCACATCAAACCCCACAGAAGACTGCTGGAAGTGATAGTTCAGTTGTGAACTAATCCAGACTGAAATTTAAGCGGTGGGTCATTGTCTCCTCCCTGGAGACATTGGCTTCTTGTGGGAGAATTGCACAGTGGGGCTGGCACGGATCATTGTGCAGTATTGGATGGCTCCAGCGTGAGTGCAGTGTTGCCTAATAAACTCTTCTAATTTCCTTTTTTTTTTTTTTTTTTTTTTTTTTTTGAGATGGACTCTGGCTCTGTCACCCAGGCTGGAGTGTCGTGGCAGGATCTCGGCTCACTGCAACCTCTACCTCCTAGGTTCCAGCGAGTCTCCTGCCTTAGCCTCCCGAGTAGCTGGGATTACAGGTGCCCGCCACCACACCTGGCTAGTTTTTTTTTTTTTTTTTTTTTTTAGTAGATTTCACCATGTTGTCCAGGCTGGTCTCAAACTTCTGACCTCAGGTGATCCACCCGCCTCAGCCTCCCAAAGTGCTGGGATTACAGACGTGAGCCACCGCGCCCAGTCCACTTTTAATTTCCTTTTGATTCACTTTGATCACTAGTTCATTCTGTGGCCTCCACTGATTATATTATGTGTTCAAAGACACAATACCCTCCATGTCCAACCTACTTTGTGACATTCTGTTTATTTCAGAACGGGGTTTACTCAAAATGCCCTGTGCCAGAGAGGCAGGAGTCGCCTCTGCAGGTATCATATGTGGAATGAGAACAGGGAGAGCGTCTTTGAGGAGGCAGCATGACGTGTTGAGAAAAGCACTAGATTCAAGAATCTGGAAAGGTTTCTAGTCCTGATGTGCCAGCATTTGAGTCTGGGAAGGTCAGCAGGCACCAACAACCAAATTCCTTTAAAGTCTTACCAAGTAGCGTGGACTTTGTCCTGTGCCTTGGGGCATGACAGGATCAAATCAGAGTTTGTGTTTTTGTTATTGAGACAGGGTCTCGCTCTGTTGCCCAGGCTGTAGTGCAGTGGCATGATCTCAGTAGCCTCATACTCCTGGGCTCAAGCGATCCTCCCACCTCAGCCTCCCCGGTAGCTGGGATTACAAATATGTGCCACCATGCCCGGCTAATGTTTTTATTTTTTGTAGAGATGGGGTTTCACCATGTTGCCTAGGCTGGTCTTGAACTCTTGGGTTCAAGCCATCTGCCTGCCTCGGCCTCCCAAAGTGCTCAGATTACAGGGGTGAGCCACCACGCCCACCAAATCACAGTTTTTGAAAGACCTTTTTGGCAATAGTGTGGAGGGTTTATTGAAGGGGAAAAATTGGATTGGAAGTGACAGGATGAGTTAGGATATAGTCCAGGTGAAAGGTGATGGGGCATAGACCAGCACTGAAGCACTGGAGATGAGAAAGAGAGTGAATAAAGACCTTTTAGAAGGAGAGCTGGTTTGGGCATAGTGGCATATGCCTGTAATTTTAAGTGCTTTAGGAGGCAGAGGTGCTTGAGCACAGGAGGTCAAGGCTGTAGTGAGCCATAATTGCGCCACTGCATTTCAGCCTGGACGACAGAATGAGAATCTGTCTCTGAAAAGAAAAAAAGCCAAGCAGGGTGGCGTGTGCCTGTAATCCCAGCTACTTGGGAGGTTGAGGCAGGAGAATCTCTTGAACCCTGGAGGCAGAGGTTGCAGTGAGCTGAGATCGTGCCACTGCACTCCAGCCTGGGCGACAGAGTCTCTTTTTCAGGGGAAAAAAAAAAAAACAGCAGCGGCAGAACTGACAGAAAGGACTTAGAAACAATTAAATGCGAGGAGAAGGGGAAAGAAAGGGAAAGAGAAAGTCAAACGCATGTAGGGTCCAGGGTGCATCACACAAATAGGAATAATGTTGTTTCACAAAAGCTTTGTTACCCCTGCATACATGTATGTACGTATGGGTTGGCAGGCATTATAAAATGTATTTCTTGGCCAGGTGCAATGGCTCACGCCTGTAATCCCAACACTTTGGGAGGCCAAGGCAGGCAGATCACGAGGTCAGGAATTCTACACCAGCCTGACCAATATGGTGAAACCCTGTCTCTAATAAAAATACAAAAATTAGCTGGGCGTGGTGGTGGGTGCCTGTAGTCCCAGCTACTTGGGAGGCTGAGGCAGAAGAATCACTTGAATCCAGGAGGCAGAGGTTGCTGTGAGCTGAGATTGCACCACTGCACTCCAGCCTGGGCCACAGAGTGAGACTCTGTCTCAAAAAAATAAAACAAAACAAAAAAAACCCACGACAACAACAAAAACTGTATTTCTTTCCAGGGCTGGTAAAAAAAAAAAAAGAGAAATTACACAAAATGGACTATATCGGTGTTTCCCAAACTTCAGTCATTTGCATACCTCATTCACAATTGTGGCCATATTCAAATAACACCTGCACCATTAATTACTTAGTATTGTTCTTTATTTTGTCGTTTGTTTGTTTGAGGTAGGGTCTTGCACTGTTGCCCAGGCTGGAGTGCAGTGATATGATCTGAACTCACTACAGCCTCGACCTCCTGGGCTCAAATGATCCTCCCACCTCAGCCTGCAGAGTAGTTGGGACTAGAGGTGCATGGCACCACACCCAGCTCCACTTATTTTATTTTTATTTTGTAGAGCTGGGGTCTCCCTATGTTGCCCAAGCTGGTCTCAAACTCCTGGGCTTAAATGATCCTCCCGCTTTGGCTCCCAAGGTGCTGAGGTTACAGGCATGAGCCACCTTGCCTGCTGGTATTGTTCTTTAAATGAAGTCACCTTTTTTTTTTTTTTGGCGACAAAGTCTCTATTTGTCACCAGGCTGGAGTGCAGTGGCGCGATCTCGGCTCACTGCAACCTCCGCCTCCCAGGTTCAAGTGATTCTCCTGCCTCAGCCTCTAGAGCAGCTGGGATTACAGGTATGTGCCACCACACCTGGCTAATTTTTGTATTTTTAGTAGAGACAGGGTTTCATGATGTTGGCTAGGCTGGTCTTGAGCTCCTGACCTCAAGTGATCTGCCCACCTCAGTCTCCCAGAGTGCTGGGATTAGAGGTGCGAGCCACCACGCCTGGCCTAAATAAAGTCACTTTTTAACCTAAATCTTACTGCAGGCTCATCCTCTATAAAAAAAAAAAGAAAGAAGAGAGGAAGGAAGGAAGGAAGGAAGGAAGAGGGAAGGAAGGAAGGAAGGAAGGAAGGAAGAAGGAAGGAAGGAAGGAAGGAAGGGAAGAAGGAAACAAAACACAAAAACCCATATATATGAAATAATGATTTTGATGTTCCAGTTATGGTTTCATACACATTGAAGTAAATACAAGGCCATTAAAAAAAAAAGTATCTGGGTGCTACCTAAAATAATTATTTCCCATGCCCTCAGTTGTGTGCAGGTCAGACTTGGGGAACCCCTGACGTGGGTGATAGTGACAGCCACTAGGATGACACATCCTTTGTTTTCTTTGCCTTCCTCTTGACTTCCATTCAGATTGTATCAGTGTTCAACCCTGGACTCCCAACCAGGTCTTTGCATTCATTGTCAGCAAAGCCTTGCCCTGCAGGTAGTGACCTTTAGCAGAGCTGGGCTAGAGGCTGTTATTCAAACAAATGGTGGCTGACCTGGAATGTCTTTTTTTTTTGTTTGTTTGTTTGTTTTGTTTTGTTTTGTTTTTTTGAGGCGGAGTCTCCCTCTGTCGCCCAGGCTGGAGTGCAGTGGCCGGATCTCAGCTCACTGCAAGCTCCGCCTCCCAGGTTTACACCATTCTCCTGCCTCAGCCTCCCGGGTAGCTGGGACTACAGGCGCCTGCCACCTCGCCCGGCTAGATTTTTGTATTTTTTAGTAGAGACGGGGTTTCACCGTGTTAGCCAGGATGGTCTTGATCTCCTGACCTTGTGATCCGCCCATCTCGGCCTCCCAAAGTGCTGGGATTACAGGCTTGAGCCACCGCGCCCTCAGCGTCCCACATCCCAGCCTCTGAAGCTGCTACACCAACGGCCCAGGCCAAATGAGCTCACATCTCACGTGTTCTGCAACCAAGAGTGCAAAGAGGGCCTTGGGACTCTCCATTTTCTTTCCTGGTGTTGTCCCTGATGCTTTCCAAGGGCGACACAGGGAAGTCTGAATGTGGGGGTTGCAACTAGATCTGCTTTTCCTCACATTTGATGTGTAAAGATCCTGTAGACTGTTTCAGTGTGAAGTTGAATTAGTTCTGCACCAACTGGTGAGGTGACATGAGGCACATCACCAAACATCTCTGAGCCTCAGTTTCCTCCTGGGTAAAGCAGTGGGTTAGGCTGCTCATCACAGGTGTTTCTGGCTCTCACATCTTACTGTGCTGAATAGTTTGTGGCCCATTGTACTTCCGCAAACTCCTTATTCAAGCCCCTTGCCCATTTATTTTTAGGATTTTTTTTTTCTTTTTACACCTGTCCCCACCTATTTTTAGGATTGTTTGTTCTTTATTTTAATTTTTTGAGACGAAGTCTTGCTCTATCGCCTGGGCTGGGGTGCAGTGGCTGGATCTTGGCCTACTGCAATCTCCATCTCCCAGGTTCAAGCAATTCTCTTGCCTCAGTCTCCCGAGTAGCTGGGACTACAGGCACCTGCCACCATATCTGGCTAATTTTTTTTTTTTTTTTTTTTTTTGAGACGGAGTCTCACTCTGTCACCCAGGCTACAGTGGCACCATCTCTGTTCACTGCAAGCTCCGCCTCCTAGGTTCATGCCATTCTCCTGCCTCAGCCTCCTGAGTAGCTGGGACTACAGGCGCCCGCCGCCATACTTGGCTAATTTTTTGTATTTTTAGTAGAGACAGGGTTTCACTGTGTTAGCCAGAATTGGTCTTGATCTCCTGACCTTGTGATGCACCCGCATTGGCTTCTCAAAGTGCTAGGATTACAGGCGTGAGCCACCACGCCCGGCCCTGCATCTGGCTAATTTTTTGTATTTTTAGTAGAGACAGGGTTTCACTATGTTGGCCAGGCTGGTCTTGAACTGCTGACCTCAAGTGATCTGCCCACCTCGGCCTCCCAAAGTGCTGGGATTACAGGCGTGTGCCACTGCGCCCAGCCAGGATTGTTTGTTCTTATATGTAAAAGTTATTGCGGTCATTATACGTAAATATTTTATGTATATTGTATCATATCCCTCTGTCACAAATATTGCAATATTTTCTCCAGCATTGATGCAACCTTGTTTCCGTATTTTGTTGTGAAGACATTTCCACTTAAAGAAAGAAAAGCCCCAATTGACAGTCTTCCTTGAGGATTTTGGCTTAAAAGAACGTCCTTACTCTAAAACTATAAAAATATGTACTCAGTTTACCTTCTAGAATTCATTATTTTATTTTTAAATCATATATTGTTTGAAATGTATTTTATGAGGATCAAGATAGAGATTCACCTTCATTTTCTTTTTCAGATGGGTACCCCATTTAATGAATAATCTGTTTTTTTAATGCAGATTTGGAATACATCATCTTTACAAAACATTCTTGAAAAAGTACCCTGTTATGCAGTTATAGCAGTAAAAGCTATTGACAATTAAACTGTGGCACATTTTAAACTGTTGTACTAATGGAATTATTATTTTTATGTATTTATATCTTAAAAACATAGTAACAGTATTTACCCCCAGCCCCACTATAACCATTTTAAGCATTCAAAAATTTACCATAAGTGGGGACGATAATGACTGTCAATGTATAAAAGCTTCAGAAAGAGCAGACTTTCCTTTTCTATCACAGTAATTAGTAACGATAATCATAGCAATTAGTGGCAGGAAAATATAAACCACAATTTTAAAGAACTCAGTTTCTGTGATTTTGAGGCCTGTAGGACGAGGATATAGGGAAGTGACTCCTGAGACAAGGTCCCTGTGCAAAATTAGGAAGGTAGAGACATTTTGTCCCCAGGTTTCCCACTCCTTACTCCGAGGACCCACTGTTTTCTGTGCCTCACTCCACCTGTTACAATCTACTTTCAGATCCTCATTCACACTGAGGTGTTGATGACTGGTTGCTGTCCAACACAGCCATTCTCATTAGAGTGTGAGGTATGTGGAAATTAACTTGTTACTAATAATAAAGTGCTGAAGTTTGAAATAATGTACTTTTTAATAAATCTGAGTTAACTCACTGTTTCTCCTGAAATGAATTCACCTGACTCTTATTTGTTTGTTTCCTTTGTAAGAGAAAACGGGTGTGCTGGTAATTGTCCGTAACCTCTTTGTTACAGCCTATAGGGATATAATGATACAGCATTAAAGCCGGGGCCTTCTTCAAATTGCCTTGTGAGTGAGTTGAGCTTATATGGTTGTTTTTGTTTTCTTTTTAATGTTACCCAAAAATACATTTTTAATAAGCTTACCAAATCTATAGTGGAAGTGAGGAAGAATGAGACTGGAAACATATTTTTTAGTAAAACTATAAAGAGTATAATTAATTCAAAATTAAGAGTACATTTCAAAGGTTCTAACTATAAAAAATGATAAATATTTGAGGTGATGGATATGGTAATTAGCTTGGTTTACATATTCCACATTGTATTCATAAATCATAATATCACTTTGAACCCCATAGAGATATACAATTATAAATTGTTAATTTGCAATAAAAATATATAAATAAATAGAATTGTGATTAATAAAAACAGACAAAGCAATGACACAAGTGAAATGTAACTAGTATTATTAACACTGAGTACTCAATAAATATTTGTTGAATGAATGACTAAATGACTATTTAAAACTTATTGGCTGGGCACACTGGCTCACATCTGCAGTCTCAACACTTTGGGAGGCTGAGGCAGTAGGATTGCCTGAGCCCAGGAGGTCGAGGCTGCAGTGAGCTATGATGGAACCACTGCACTCCAGCCTGCGTGACAGAGCGAGACCCTGTCTCAAAAATATATATAATAGTGTTTGCCTTATTTCTTTGCCCACTCCCTTGGAGCTATTTTGTTTGTTAAACAAAACTGTATTCTCTGATAGGAGTAAGTCTCTTCTACAATTTTCATCCAAAGTGAGAGACAAAAAAATTGAGAATTGAGATACTAAGCTGAGGTTTCCAATGTCTACCTGCCTACACACACACACACACACACACACACACACACACACACACACACACAAGTTCAGAGCCTCAAGCTAGAGGGAGGAGACACTGAGAGTAAAATTCAAGTAACAGCCAACAGGTTGAAACTCTGAAACCACACCTTATGGGCAGCCCCTCCATCTCTTGTCCTCTTGTAACATTAGCCTTGTTGAGCTGCTATGTGTCTGCATTCTATGTGTCAGTTCTTTTCTTTTTTTTTTTTAGACGGAGTCTTAATCTGTTGCCCAGACTGCAACCTCCACCTCACAGGTTCAAGCAATTCAAGCAATTCTCCTGCCTTAGCCTCCTGAGTAGCTGGGATTACAGGTGTGCACCATCATGCCCAACTAATTTTTATATTTTTAGTAGAGAGAAGGTTTCATCCTATTGGCCAGGCTGGTCTCAAACTCCTGACGTCAAGTGATCCACCTGTCTCGACCTCCCAAAGTGCTAGGATTATAGGCATGAGCCACTGCGTCCAGCCCTTTTTTTTTTTTTTTCCCCCTGAAACAGGGTCTCGCTCTGTCACCCAGGCTGGAGTGCAGTGGTGCAATTGCAGCTCACTGTAGCCTCTGCCTTCCAGGTTCAAGTGATTCTCGTGCCTCAGCCTCCTGAGTAGCTGGAGTTACAGGCATGCGCCACCACACCCAGCTAATTTTTGTGTTTTAGTAGAGACAGGGTTTCACCAGGTTGGCCAAGCTGGTCTCAAACTCCTGGCCTCAAGTGATCCACCTGCCTCAGCCTCCCAAAGGGCTGGGATTACAGGCATGAGCCACTGTGCCCGGCCTCCGTGCGTCATTTCTAATTGCTGGAAGGAGAGTAGAGTTGGCACTGTTATGGGAAGCCACTGAATGGACCTGCTGCTTTTACCATTTGAGTGGAATACAGACAATTCCTCCCTCCCCAGCCTGCTCACCCTGGTCCTTCTCCTTCTGTCAAAGGAGAGGATAATTGAGGTCTCCCTGGCTTGCAAGAAACATCAGGTATTCATCTCAGGGGCCCTTTCAAGGATCTCATTGATTTGGTATTTCAGTTTCTACTCCCCAAACACAGTTTTTCCACCAACAAAAGGTTTTCAGTCCTTTAAATTCATCTAAGGACATAAACTATGCAGACCAGTCAGGACAGAAGCCATGTGAGCCACAAACAACAAAGCACAAATTGCCTCCAGTGGGCATAGAGTTTCAGTGACTTCATGTTGGCTAAATATAGGCGAACACATGGTGTGTTGTGAGTGCCAGGGAGAGCCATGATGCAATTACCCCCTCCCCTTGATGGAATAGAGAGGGCCAGGGTCAGAGCGAAGAATGGGATTACCTAATAAATGGTCACTTGTCACGGTCCCCAACTCCACTCCCGTCCAAGGGTTGTACACACACACACACACACACACCCCCAATACATGACAAAGCAAACATTATTACACAGCTTTAGAACAACATATTTATCTTCTGATTGTGGTTAAAAATAAATTGCTTTAATATTAAATTTAATTGTTTCGATTTTCTTTTTACTCTTTATTACATAAAAAATTCATATTCCCTATAGAAAATTCAGAAACCAGAATAACTATTAATTTTTATCGAACAGTTAACATATGGCAGCTATTCCCTGTAGTAGGGCCTTTACATGAGCGACTCATTTAATCCTCACAGAACTATCTGAGTTAGATTCAGTCATTACCCCTGTTTGACAACTAAAAAAAAAAAAAAACAAGGGTTGCGGATTAAGTAACCAGCTCAAGGTCACCTAGTTAGAAAAGTGAAGACTGGGAATTAAACTCCAGTTTGTCTGATTTCAAATTTCATGCTCTTAAACTCTAGACCACGAGATATGATCAGTTGACTAAAAGAAAAAACAACAAAAAGCACTCTAGGCCTGGCGCAGTGGCTCATGCCTGTAATCCCAGTGCTTTGGAAGGCGGAGGCGGGTGGATCATTTGAGGTCAGGAGTTCAAGACCTGCCTGGCCAACAGGGCGAAACCCTATCTCTACTAAAAATACAAAAGTTAGCCGGGCATGGTGGCATGCGCCTGTAATCCCAGCTACTCAGGAGGCTGAGGCAGAGTTGCTTGAACCTGGGAGGCGGAGGTTGGGGTGAGCCGAGATCGTGCCATTGCTCTCTAGTCTGGGCGACAAAGTGAGACCTTGTCTCAAAACAAACAAACAAACAAATAAACAATTCTCTAGACCAGTGCTGTTCAATAGAAATATACTGTGTAAGCCACATATATAATTTTAAATTTTCTTTTTCTTTTCTTTTCTTTTTTTTTTTGAGACGGAGTCTGTCTGCCAGGCTGGAGTGCAGTGGCACAGTCTTGGCTCACTGCAAGCTTTGCCTCCCGGGTTCACGCCATTTTCCTGCCTCAGCCTCCCGGGTAGCTGGGACTACAGGCGCCCGCCACCACGCCCGGCTAATTTTTTGTATTGTATTTTCAGTAGAGATGGGGTTTCCACCTGTTCGCCAGGATGGTCTCGATCTCCTGACCTCATATCTGCCCCCCTTGGCCTCCTTAAGTGCTGGCATTACAGGCGTGGCACCACGGCCGGGCCTAATGTAAAATTTTTAATAGCCACATTAAAAGCGGAAAAGAATAAATAGGATTATTTTGATACTGGTTCATTAGCCAATACATCCAAATATTTATTATTTCACATTTAACAATATAAAAAATAACTAGGGCCGGGCGCGGTGGCTCAAGCCTGTATCCAGCACTTGGGAGGGCCGAGACGGGCAGATCACGAGGTCGGAGATCGAGGACCACCTGGCTAACCGGTGTGAAACCCCGTCTCTACTAAAAAATACAAACTAGCAGGTGCGACTCGC